CCGCCTAGCAGCAAGCCCGATGTGGGGCTTGATCCCAGGACCCTGGGATCATGACCCAAGCCGAAGGCAGACGCTTAACACCTGAGCCACCCAGGCGCCCCTGTGTTGTATTTAAAATTAAAATTTTTCCAATTTTTTCTTCTTCCAGAAAGTGATGCCAAGTTTTTTTGTAACGGTTTAACAATAATAGGATTATTTACTTGATGTTGCAAATAGGGTATTTAATTCTAATGTTAAAATGCTCTGGGGCTCAGTCTAATGTCTAACAAAAGTTTATTTTACTTATTATCCATCTTACTCACTGGAATGTTAAGTTCCATGAGGGCAGGATTTTTTTTTTAAATTGTTTTAATCACTGCTATATCCCTAATACCTAGAACAGTGCCTGGCACATGGTGGGTGCTTGAAAGAGGATTGTGGAATGAGTGTTGAAGTAAAGCACTAGTTGATTTGGAAAACATTTTCAAATTCTCCTTTAGCGTTTAAAAAGATATTTTGGTTGCTAATTGAATATACTGCTGGTTACAGTAGGGTCTTTTTATAGTCTGCAGAGTGCTATATGAGGTGTCAGCAGATGAGGACTGAGTCTGTGCTAATCAGTCAGATTAGGAAAGAGACTTGCTATGGGGACTATATTCAGAATGGATAGTAAGTAACTTTTTTCTCTCTACTTAAAGCTGCACAGTTTATTTTGTTTACTTATCTTTTGAAGTGTTCTTTGAAGATATTTTAAACCTGATCTAGGGAAAAGTATAGTTGCCAACCAAGATATTTAGTGTTAACCTTTTTTGGTGGTAACAGACAAGCAATAATGCCGGCAGACTTTGGGTTTAAAAATAGGATGGGAGATCATTGTTTTTGAGGGAGCTTTGTTTTTATTTGTAAAATCATTTTGAGAACTGTTTGCATCAACTGAAGTATAACAAAGTACACTTTTGTTTCTAGGTGAAAAATTTAGAGAACTAATGGATAAGTTCCTGAGGGTTAACTTCAGTAAAGGCTGCCCACCCTTGTTTACTACTTTGAAATCTTTATATTACAATACAGAAAAGGTAAAATTTGGTCTTTATTCAGTTTTGCTATAATCTTTTTACTAACTTATTATAGAAAGACTTCCATGTAAATAATATGCTATGATTTAATAATTTTCTCTATTCTAGTAATGTAGTCACCTTAGTTTAATAATAGATGAACTGAAATTGTATGTATGTAGGATAGATACTATCAAAGGAAATGTCAGTCTGTGAAATTTACAGAATAAAGGCTTTATAAAAGCACTAAGATTATAAAGGTTGTTGTTTTTAATGGGTATACTTTTCTCGTAGAATTTTTAAACTTGATATTGACACCAGAAGTCTATATTTAAGTATTTCATGATTATTATTTCATCGTTTGTGGATTTTTAAAGTTTGTTATGCATGCTTTTAATGTTAGAGCATGGATAACTGAGCTAGTGCAATAGTAAAATGCCATTTGGTCTACAGAGTATTATTAGTTTTAACTAGTAGACAACATTGTAATAAATAAGGATAGTTTTGGCTAATTCTTGAATAAAGAGAATAATATTTTTCTACCTTTAAAATTAGAAAATAGGCACTTGGTCTTAAATTAGGTAATTGGAAAATTAAAAACAAATACAAATTACAAATACAAGTTATACTTCTGTTTCCAGGAATTGCTTTTTCTTTCTTAAGGTGTAAAGTCTTATGTTCTTTTCTGTAGTCAGAATGTCTGAAAGTTACTAGTGGATAAAGAAAAGATGTTATTAGAAGTGCTAAAATATTTGTAGTGAAACCTATCACTTACGAGTTTAGTTTTGACCCATAATTTGTAAACTAGCAGTAATTGTGAATAGAGAATATTGAAAACAAGGTCAACGATAGGTGGTATAACCGATGACACTTTCTTTTCTGGGGAAGCAGTTTTCGTAAATAAAATGGGACAACTGGTAATATGTAGTGCTCTGTAAGTAAAAGGTGTCATTTACATTTTTAAAACAGTTTATAGTTCTTTAATGTCTGTAGCATGCTCTATTTTTTTTTTTTTTAAGATTTTATTTATTTGACAGAGA